GTTCCCGCCTTCATCCTCATCAGTCTCAACTGAGAATCGCAACACCACAGAAATCGTCAATATACGAGCTTCTTCCCAAGACCGGACCCATTTGTAATGGAGCCGGGATATTGCGTCGGAATACAGTCATGTCCAATGAAGGAATTTCTGAAGCCTTCATATCCACTTCAGGTTTCAGGGTTTCTTGAGACTCGAGATCCAGGAACTCTAGAACTTCTGGGTCAACCATCGCTTCCTCTTCAGGCGGTAGACGGACGAATCCCCACAGACAGTTGTTGATGATGCTCTGATAAATTAACGGTGTATTCTTCAATCCAAAAAGCATTCTGAGCCATTGAAAGTGGCCGAACGGTAGACAAACACAGAGATCAACTTTGCACTTTCAGTCATTCGCACCGCCCAGAATCCACTCGCCATGTCGAGACTCAAGAACCCCATCGCTGATTTAAAGTCTACCAGCAAGTCATCGATTAAAGGTAGAGGATAGCGAGATAGCTTGAAGAGCAAATTCAGAAGTCGGTAGTCAATACACATCCGGATGTCTATGCCATTTTTCTTCAGCACAATCACAATAGGGGATGACCATTCGGACTCTGAATGCTCAATGAGCTCCGCCTCTAACATCTTCTTCAAGAGTTCAAACACCTTCACCAAGAAAGATGCGGCAATCTGTCTCGCATGTAAAGCCACTGGTTTTGATTCACCCACGTCGATGTCACACACTACGCCCCTAGCAGGGGGCTGGAGCTGCGTTGCCATCTCCCAGGAAGATGCTGCGATGGCGTTTCAGGATTCCTCTCACCTTGGCTTCCATCTCTGGAGTTGTGACTCCCGAAACTCCGACATTAGCTTCGTCGATGTTACATTCTGGGGCCAGTCCCTCCATTTCCGGGAGCATGATAAGTTGGTCTCGTAACTGTGCCATCAAATAACTTCCTTCCCTGAGGTATACGGCAGGTTCCAGATCCAGTTCTTCAGCAGGGACTCGCATCACCCGAGCATATTCTGCTTCCAGCCTTTGGACCGGTATTGAACAATTTGTCTGTGACTGGATATCCAGGAACCTGAGCATTATCCTCGACATCAGCCATACTCTCTGGATCCAGGGTCTCAACTTTTGAACTCAAGTCAGGATGGGTCTGTTCTATCAGCTCAGGACGGGTGTCAGGTTCCTCCGGATCTCTCGCGACCGTGTCCAAGACGACCACCGAATTCCCAATGATCTTGAGTGTCATGTCCAATGGTTTCGGCTTCTCTTGCAACTTCACCATCTTCTCTTCAGTGGCTTGGGACTGTGGACGCATTAGAAGCTTTGTAGGCCACTGATATCTCTGGGTCTGGGTGCACGGAGGCTCCCTCTCCCTAAGATTCCGCTCCAATCGTTCAGCACGCATCCTTGCCTGGCGTGACACGGTACACCCATGGATTAATTGTTGTCATTCTTCATACCGTGCCTTCCCCGGGCGAACGAATTCAGGCTGTCCTGGGAACTGTCCATATTCCACAATACGCGCAACAGTGGTCCTGGTATCGATCCACACATTCTGGTCTGAAACATGGACAACTTTGACGGCAGTCGCCCAGGATCTAGCAGAATACAGGACCTTCTTCATCCTGTTTTTGCCTCTCCCAGCCCACACCAGCTCACGTTGAGGGTTAGACTGGCCATACCGGATTCGTACGATAGCGTCTTGACCAGGACGCAGGTGTATGCTTTCCTCTGGGCACACAGGGAGATTCATACCACGGGACTTGGGATTAACATCATATATAATCACAGTTTCTTCGTCTGACAGCTTGACCAAGCCTTCTCGTATGCAGAGTCGGAC